TTTTTTTGGTGGTACCAGAGATTGAACTCAGGACCTTGAGCTTGCTAGGCAGGTGCTTATTCTACTGAGCTATCTCCCTGGCTCCTATAAATGTTTTTTTTTTAGACAAAGCAGGCAATAAAAGTATTCACTTTGGCAGCACATATGCTAAGCACACATATAGGTAATGATAACAGGATCAATTTACCTAAACAAAAGAAATTAAATCATTATTTATTTAATATTATCAAATATGTAAAGCAAAAACTGAGAGAAATGAAAGAAGAAATGGAAAAAATCTGTTTTCCACTTACCTCTATAGCCATTGATAGGGCAAACAGAAGAAAGAATAACAGGAAAATTTGAAGAAAACTAATCATTACTGGGTTTACATACCCTGAATGGTACTGCAGATCACTGACGATTATACACTCCTCTCAAGTGCCCACAGATATTTTAGACAATAAATCCCTCATATTCTGAATCTTACATCAAGCTTTAACTAAATTCACTAAACCTTACTAAGAGTATATTCTCTGACTGTAATAAAATTAAATTAGAAATTAATTACAATAAGAAAACTAGAAAATCTCCTAAATCTTTGGATAGTAATAGGATTTTCAAATAACTTATAGATAAGTGAAATAAATTACTACAGAAATTAGAAAAAAATTGAATTGAATACTAAGAAAAATAAGACAAATTAAATAATTAAGCAATGTTTTGAGGGAAACAGTGTTAATGAAGAACATTTGAAAAGAGTATAGGTTGCACTTTTAAAAAATCTATCTAACAATATATCTAATATGAAAAAGTAGAATCTACATAGAAATAAAAGGAAAAAATTCATTAGGAGACAATTCATGGCATATAAACGAATGGTATTTTGTGTGTATGTGCATATATACAAATACATATATATATAGTCTGCATATATGTTTATGTAACATATTTGCATAATTTTCTATGCATGTATAGGCATAAATATGTAGCTAAAATTGTATGAATTCTTGATTGATTATTAATTAATTATGTAACAAATTGGTATGTATCAGACTATCTTGTCCGGGATGTTTACATAGAGTCTTAGAAACTAGATGTAGCTTTAGGGTTACAGGGAAAACTTACTTATATTCCATAATGCAACTCTTTTCTACTTCTGAGAGAAGGACATAAAAGTCAGAAAGGCAAGGTTTCCAGAAACCCTTAAGTGACTGAGTATTTTCTAAGGACAGTATTTCTCAGCCATGGCACTGATCTATGCCACACATGTAGCATTTTCCTGGACCAAGTTGTACACTGTCTCTTTGGTCCATGTAGTGACAGGAGACTACTGTAGACACAGGACGTGAACAGGAGCTTATGACAACTCTGTGGTCTGAGTAATGAACTGTATGAATTTGTTGGAGTTCATTATTTCCTTACTGATCGACTTAGCTACTTTTCTCACTATGGAGACAAAATATCCGACATGCAAAGGAAGAAAGCTTTATTTGGTTCATGGTCTGGAGAGACTTTAGTCTGTGACTGACTGGCTCCAAAGCAGGGAGACATGGCAGAGGGGTGGCACAGAGAGGGCAAGAGGTGGCAGCAGCAGTGAGTACCAAACACCAAGCACCTGGCTCTTACATCTTATCACCTTTAATCCTAGCATCGCACAGTGCATCAATCCCAGCATCACATCCTAGACCCACCCACCTCCAAGGCTTGGGGTGTCATTCAGACACAAACCATATCAGAAATCAAATTTATGGCTATGATATGCCAAGTAAGTGCCATGCTATGCTACAGCTATGTAGGGAGCCATGAAAGCTAGAAAACCAGTCAAAGGTGTGTAGGCGGGACTAGGCCTCAGTGCCTAAAGCAAAAAAACCTACATCAGTCCTGAGATAAGCATCCTGATTGGTTAATGTTGGCTACTAGTCACTAGGTAACCTTGTGTCACATGTTACTAACTTTGCAAAAGGTATAAATAAACGTAGGTTTAATTGTGCTGGTGCATGAGTCTTGCCCATCAGGCAAACTACCGACCACCTAGCCCAACTTTTGTCTTCTTGTCTGTCTCTCATTCCTGTCACTGTGTCTCCCTGGGTAGAACCATTCACAGTAAGACCAACAGATCCCTGCACAGCTTGACTGTGTAACATCATCTAAAGCAGGTGTCCCTCAAAGACAATATCTAAGCATTTAATAAATGCTGACAAAACAGCTGCTTTTTCTTTACCCCTATAAATTTTCCACTAAGTGTTGGAAAGGATGCAAGACAGCTCTCACCCTCATGCACTGTGAGGAAGATTTTATGTTATTAGTACTACCACTTTGATTTAAAAAAATTGGGGAGTAGACTCTAAGAATGAATACATCCATACAACATCATCATGAAAACTGTATTTCTGGATAGCTATCATGAGAAATATGTATATGCATTTGCCAAAAGACATATAATGTATGTAGCATCATTAATCATATTGACTCAGATGGAAATGATCCAATCTATAAATAGCAAGACTGAGTT